CCATCAGAAGGGCTATTTTCTTGGGAAATCTTCAGAAGTTACCAGTTAAGCTTTGACCGGAACTATGCAGAACCTTGGCAATGTTCACAAAAAATCACCGAGACTTGAACTGATGCCCAGTAACCGTAAGGGAGCTTTTGACACTATGTTATTACATTTGAGGTTAACCTGTATTACATTTACGGTTGGTCAGCTTATTACATTTAGCGTTAAATTGTATTACATTTACGGTGGGGTAAGTTATTACATTTAGTGTTGATTTTTATTACATTTGCGGTTAGTATTACATTTAGCGTTAATTTTTATTACATTTACGGTTGGTATTACATTTAGCGTTGTTATTACATTTAGCGGTGATACAATTCTCTCGTTACAACGGACTACTTGGACGCAGTGAATGACATATTTACTCTGCAGTCCTAACATGTTCACTAGGTTTTACAGTATTTTGACCCACACTGTATGATTATATTCACAGTAAATGTGTACTACAAATTAAAAGAGACTGGAAATCTTAAAAGAGTACAGCAGTATACGCAATATGTGATACTTTACAACTAAAAACTGGGTCATTTTTTTCATCACACCCCGCTATTGCGGACTCTTGCTATTACAGAGACCAAATGACGCTCCTGAGGATGTCCAGTTTAATAAGACTTGACTGTACGTATATGCCAAGCGTGATACTACGTCACCAGCATACGTAGCGTTGCTTAGTGACGCGAGCTTACACAATTTCGAAGCGGGTAAAAGGTAAAATATTCACCCCCGTCCCTATTTCTCCTTACCCTCCCCTCCCTAAGACAGACCTGAGTAGCTGACACTCCTGCCGCCCTATCGTTCAGTATCCTGGTGATTTCCATCATGTTGTCGACGTCTGGAGAAACGGGTCTGATGTTTTCTTGTTCAAGCTCCACCTTAATCTCATGCCACACTTCCAGCATCTTTACATAGAGCAAAAAAAAGAATATCCTTATTATTATATGGAGGAGAGTGTTTTACTGGGAACTAAACCACTCGTAGATTCCATGCGCCACTTCATTCGGGATCCGAGTGGCGTATTTTTGGTATATCACTCTTCCGAGTATCCTTTCGTTCAATGACGTCACGCCTTTTCCAGCGTTGGACGAACTTGAAAATCACTTAGGGTTACGGTTACGGTTTCGGTTAAGGTTATGATTCAAGTCAAAGTCAGATTTCTTTTTTTCAGTCAAAAGTGGAAAATTACATTAACCACTCGAACATAAAATTCATATCTTCTCGCCACCGTGTAATATTCATAATACAATTAACTTCCCTCAAAGAAGCCTGCGAGCAAGGAACGGACGACGTGAAACATCAGGCAGAAATCCGTCTACGTTAGGGAAAGACTCCAAAGCGATTTCCTATAGTTATATAGTTTAATTTGAAGACTAACTTGGATTAGGAGGAATCTCTTACAATAGCGTGACCTCACGTTGTCTTTGAAACCTCTATTTGGGTCGTCACGGAACATTCACACCGTAACCTGGCAGTTTATGGTGACGCTTTCCTCACCTTAAAGTCGAGATATTTCTCGATTACAGCAACTGTGACATAATCCAGAGTTGATAGACCAGGAACTGCGTTAAACCCTGCAGAAAATATCGAGTCAAAAAATAGAAGAAAAACTCCAAACACAGTAAGTCAAACCACGGTATACAATGTCAAACAAGCTGTAAAGACTCACCAAGTTTACAAAACATGGAGTACAGTTTTGCTCTCATGTTTTCAGACACGTCCACGATCGCTTGGCTAGGCCGGTCAGCGGGTAACGGAATGACACCTTGGCGCTCTTGGACAGTTCCCATGAGAGGCCGCTTGAGGTCTGCAACGCGTGCAAAAGACAAAGGGTCAACTCCAAAACTCCATGGAGTTCAACCATTTACTTCCCAAGAACATTCGAAGCCTAAATTATCTTTACTATGCAAGTTCATTGCCAAGTATGTGCAATTTAAGGGATACTGATAGCCATGATGTCAGTGGCCCTTCGACTTCTGTGGTGTCTGGAGTTCAAATTGAATGGTAACTCTTCACAAGCCTTATGACCCACGACTGACGGCGCTCAATTCTTGTTTTTGCAGTATAAAGCGACTGGGAGTATTGCTAAATCTTCTGGATGGAATGCTAGTCCAAAGCAGGGCTATCCTCAGCATTTGTTTTAAAATTTCCGTCACAGTTTGTCGGTACCCACATATACACCTGGATGGAGAGATGCACTGTGTGTGTGTGAGAGAGAGAGAGTGTCTTGTCAATGAACACGACACGATGACCTTAGCTAAGGCTCGCACCCAGACTGTTCAAGCCGCTAGCCATTAGAACCCGGTGAAAACTCGGAAGCTTCACACAAAAAGAAAAAAAGTGAGCAAAAATCGGAAGCCAAGTCAGAAGAAGTTGAAAAGCATGAATGGAACACGCTGCTTTCCAGCATCCCAAGTACTACTATAACTACATTAAGCAGCCAAAGGCTGACGTGGAAAGTAGAATACAAGTTGTATTTATCAGCTGCAGCAGTTACCTGTTATTTTGCCCGTTTTATCACGTGGTACACCCATGTTTGACTCCTCCTTTTTCCACAACTCCACCAGTAGTTTGCCGGCTGTAATCTGCTTTTCCCCTCGCCAGGCCTGTACATGCGCCAGAGCCTGTGCAACAATTCAAGCAACACAGATGTAAGGATCACGTGCGTTTTCAGAAACTAGGGTTGATATCTGTGACGTTCGATATATGCGCTGTCTTTTATGTGGGACTTTTGTCGGATTGGAAATTTTCGTCAGTTATTAGTAGACTACGAATAGTCCCTCTTTCGCTTAGTCCACGAACGAGACCGTAAATAAACCGCGAGGGAAAAATGGCTGCGTGAAATCCTGGGGGCGAGAGGCGCACGACTACGCGCGGCCATTTTTTTTTGGCTCGCGGTTTTCTTTCGCGTTACGCACGACGGACTAAGCGAAGGAGGGGCTACTCGTAGTCTAGTTATTAGTGATGTTGTATCTCTGTGATACTCGTTGTGTATGATATTCGTTATCTATATTATAATAACGTTCATTGTTTGTGATGTTCGTTATTTACAATGTTACTGATGTGAAGTTTATATGAAATAATTCATATATGAACTGCGGTTGTAGATGAAAGTGAAGAATGATNGAACAAATCGTATACACATAAAAAAACATATTTATAGCAGCGTGCTAATGAACTTTGCTAGTTACTAAGATACAGCATTTAGCAAATTGTTTTCTTGTTAGCTTTCTCCGTGCATCTTGCCCACTACAGTACGCGCGGTTTAAATTTCTACGGCTTATTTCACGCATGTAAACGATAGCTTCAAAGCAATTGCATGTGATTCAAATGAAATCCAGTTTCACCAAGCATTGCACTGTAGCATAGCACTAGTATCGTCCCTTCCAACACCGTGACCGTCCGTACGTGCTAATAACCAGTAACAGAAAATCTGAACGTTAGAGAAAAATCGTGGAATATCACGTCACAAACGAGAAATGCGCGTGCACGCACATGCAGCTCGCGCACACTTCAAAATGCTAAACATTCCTCAAAATTTCAGCTGAATATACGATATAGCTCAGTTGTAGTTAAATAACATTTACAGATAAGACCTGTTGAGTCAACAGTGTTGCAGCTAGAAATGCCAAATGGAACTGAATAGTTTTCACATTCTCCAAAATATTGTTATGGACAATGTTAACGCTGGTTTTATTGAGGAATAGCCTTGGGTGTTTTCAGCAGTAAAATTGAAAAAGGAGAAAAGAGAACCGCGCTGTTCCGTTCACACTCCGTGAACGTTGCAAATATTTTTGACTAATATGTGTTTTAAAAAGATTGCCTTCCCAGTCACGTTCTTTTGAGTTATTTTCGCCACGTACACAATTATCTCTAAATTGAATGAAACCTGAAAAAAATAGTTGACTAACATAGAAAAACACCAAAGAGATAATAATAATAAACCATAACGGAACAAGGATGGTTAAGAATGGAGAAGATTGACGCGGATTACAAACGATAAACTTGACAAATTTAGGCCACACTTTTCAAGACCCGCAAACCGTGACTTAGCTCCTTTAACAAGACCAAGTGAATCCGGGAGGCGAAGACGTCATAGAAACCATAAAGCAATTTGCACGTGTGGCTCTTTGATACTCTTTGATTGGCCGAGGCAGTTCGAAAGCCAGTAAAAAGATGGCAAAGCCAAGGGTTGAGCGACAGCTTGCGAAGACGTCAAAGAAACCACGCGTTCATTAAACAATTCGCACGTGTGGCTCTTTGATGCTCTTTGATTGGCTGAGGCATTGCGGAAGCCAGCAGAAAGATGACAAAGGGTTGCGTGACAGCTTGTGCTTTGGTGCATTTGATGGCAATTAGTTTGAGTTACCTGTAATAAATCCATGAGATGAAACACTCCATCGTTCTCAAGAAAAAGCTGCTCGGTCAGATAACATCCCAGTACAGCAGACCTAGCAGAAAACCACGAGCAAGGTGATAAGACACAGTGTTTGCTTCAATAACAGTAGTGAAAAGTTATAAGTAAATTCCTCTTGCATAGCATAACTTTTTTTATTTTTAACTTCTAACATGTAGACATTTTTTTAATTTTTTGACTTTAAATAATGAAATTTTGACTGTCTGACTCACTGTTAGACTGCAAAACAGTCGTTTTTTGTCGTTTTCGAAAGGCGCGAAGCGCCGTAAGCGCGATCCTCGCGTGTTAAGCGCGCGAGCCTCACACGCCTTACGGGCGTGTGATTTACTGACTGACTGACTTACCACACACAGTCTACTGCAGACAGCAGTAGCTGATGATGTCCCAGCGGGCTGTTGATCTTGTTAGGATCCCTCTTCAGATATTCAACTAACACCTGCACTCCTTGAGCACCGAACAGTTCCTACAGCAAACAAACGAAAGACAACATTCTTTATTCTGCTCTGATGTAGGAGTTGCCTTGCACGCACAAGGCCATACATACTGAGCTAATCAAATGAAATTGTCAGCAAATCACAAAGGACGCAAACAGTACCTGAACCAATCAAGACTCGAAGTAAACACATACACGTAACCGACGAAAAGCGCGGGAAAACGTGTGCGAGCGGGTCACAAGAGGTTTGGTTTTACTTCTGATTGAATGACAAAGAAGCGCGCGCGAAACCAAATCAAATGCAAGTTAATTTCGACACTCAAGTGAAAACTTCTCTACTCATTTAGTTGATAAGAGTGGCTGCCTCGTAATTTAATATGTTTCGTTAAACGGCCACCGTCTTGCACGGTGTTTTACTATGTCGGCTTGCGCGAAATTTTGTGACGGCGAATTTTCCTTTCCGTTTGCCATTACTCTCCATATTATGAATAAAAATAAATCATGAGCGCTTCTGTCCGTTGTCTACACCCGCATGGACAGAAGGAAAGAAGAGCTTAAGCAATGACGACGGCGACCCCGAGGACAACGCCTGGTGAAAAATGTATTTAAATTTTACTTTCGAATTTCGCCATTGTCTAGATCTGTTCAGTGTGCCTACTGGTCTCAGAACTTGCTGAAGCTAAATATGTAACGCCAGCGTTCAATTTCAAATGAAAATACGAAAAATTACCCGCCGTCGTTCGTGTTCTCCAAAATACGCAGAACTTGGTTATTTCACGATGTAGTTGTGCAGAGGACGGCAAAGAAATGTACGAAGATATATAACGCACGTGCACAGTCATTGTTCTCCTCATTAAACCTTTTGTTTGGTGGCGTTCTCGTTGCCGTGGCTGTGGTGGTTTGTTTAAGTTCTCTGTTGTTGTGCAGAGGACGGCAAAAAAATTTACAAAGATTTATAACGCACGTGCACAGCCATTGTTGTTCTCATTAAACCTTTTGTTTGGTGACATGTATTGGGTTATTTCTATAGTCTGTACGTGTAGACCATAGAAATATGTAGTCTATTTACTACATATAATAACACGCCACAGTTTTACCTTCTTGTGTGTGTCTCCTTCACAAAGAGAAGCCACAATAAACAACATGTCACACTGCATTTCAACATCAACGAGGTCATTCTCATCAGTACTGGTGCTGGCATTCAAAAGGATTCCTACAAGATATTCACCCATTAAATTGAAATACACCGTCAAAAAACAGCTGGTGACGAAAGGGCGGGTAGACTTGTAATGGGAGAACCTGTACAAACATTTTATCCAAAGGGAACCGAAATACTCCTAACTCTATGCCGCAGAAATTAAAGATACCTGACATCCAGCTTCATGGGCCCAGGGTCGATTTCCGCCGCTCTTTCGCGTCCGGTCTTTGTTCCTGGGTACCCCTGAGTGTTATCTAAATAGACTATATTCGTATTCTTGGTATTGGACTGAAACCAACCGGTAATGGAGGCTCATGCGGGGAATATCATTACAAAGGGAAAAATTCTATTTGCATTTAAAAAGACTCCCCGAATAAGCCTCCGTTGCAAGTTGGTTCCAGTCCAATAATGGCCTATTACAGAACTTACCAACAATCTGATTGATGGCTCCTTGATCAACAAGATCCTGATTCAAGCCATCATCTCCCACTGACACCATGCCTCTGATGAGCCGCAGACAATACCGCATCTGAGCCCGCTTGTTACCACGACCACCAGAGCCATGGAAACTGTTGCCATGACCACCATAGTCGGCTGAGAGGAAAAGCAAGAAGCGTTTTCAGTGTAAGTAACATTCAGAATGCTGAACAATGAGGGTCCAATAAAGGTTTTTTCAATCCCGCATCCCGCCACTACTTTAGCTCAATCCCGCCATCCCGCCGATCCACCTTTGCAAGAGTTGCAGTTTCTCTGATTAACGTTCGTAACGTGTGATTTTCGGTTTTTCGTCCCGAATCCCGCCGTCAATTTCAAAACTATCCCGCATCCAGCCTGTCAAAATGAGTGAATCCCGCTCCCGCCGAAATATTTTGATCCCGCATCCCGCCATCAAAATTTCTGTCATCCCGCATCACACCTTCATTTCTATTCTCATCCCGGAGCTCGCCAAACCAAATGTCGCCAAATGTCGGACCCTCGAATTTTCAAGTTCGTTTAATGTAGAAATCTATTTCCTTCCTCGACATCGTTAGTTTAATGGCTTTCCGCCGTTACTTTTTTTTTAGTACTGATGGGGTCCTGTGATAAAGAAATGTTTTCTAGCCTCTTTTATTAACGTTTCCAACAGCTGACAGCCTGACAGCTCATACCTTGTCCCACACACCACTCAAGCAGCATCAGTAATCTAGTGTTACTCTGACACGTCATGTAATCCTCCAAACACAGTGGTGCAACAGTACTTAATGTATCTAGCGCCTGTAGAGAAAAAACGAAAAATAATAATAGCCAAAAATGCTTCTATTTTAATTTAGTAAACACGCATTGTTTGTTTCCTTTGTTGAACATTATGGTTCACGACTTTGGTCACTTTTTAAAAACATTTCTTAATCCGTAAATAACATTAGGAATGGTGAATTATTACACTACGGAAATACAGTCACGAGGTTGAGAACTTCTCAATCAATAAATTGAAAAAGCTTTGGGGAAATGAAGGAAACAAACATATTTTGAAGGCTGAAAGAAATAAATTTCTTGTTTCCTTTGTAGGGTTGTTGATTTGTTGTTTTCGGTATATTTTTGAGACAAGAAACAAAACCTATGTCACCTTTGAATATACCAGACATCGAAACAGAACAGTGCAACTTCAAGAAAAGATGGGCCGAAACCAGGCTGAACAAAAGTCAAAAAATAATTATTTCACCTTACTTTCCAACTGTTACATTATTGCCAATATTGAAGGCAAGGGGAGACCAAAAAATTCAATAATGTTACGTCTTATAGTAAATCTCTACAGTCCGCTCTCAATGGGGTTTGAATGTCATTAAGTATCTAGCAGTACATATTTAACTTAGATATCCTTTTTTTTTACCTGTAATTGCAGCTCTTCAAACTGTGCTGGGGACCACTCAGAGGTGGAGGTGTTGTCATTTGCTCGCACAAATGAAAACAGCGACAAAACGACGCGTCCTTCAGAAAAAATCTGTTATAAAATGAAAATAAGAAAACCTTGCATAATGACACCAACAAAATGCAACATTACACTCAAATTAACTTGTGATACAGTAGTTATGCGATGTTTTCAAACAGCACACTGTAAATTTAATCCATCAAGTATTCACTCTTAAGAGATTGGTTTAAATGCATCACATGACTGAATATGCCCAAGTTAAAGCTGGAAAATGCCTCAGTGATATTCCCTAATTTTCAAAACTTTGTGCATAATTGCGAAAAATATTAGTTAGCTCTTATTAACCGAGCAGGAGGTCTGTATGGGAGAATCTTGACCGAGGTCGTGAGTGCAGACCGAACGCAGTGAAGTCGGTACACACGAGCGAGGACAAGATTCTCCCATACAGACCGACTTAGCTCGGTTAATAAGATGTTTATTATGTGGCAAAGAAGAAAACTTTAATTCGTCTAATGTAACTGGTCTGCTTGCGAACGGCGATGAGCTTAACTTAAGCCTGCCGAAATTTGCTCGTCCTCTTTACTTTTTTTTGTCATCAGACTTTTTGGCACTTCCATAAATGAATGAGAAGAAAATAAAAGAAAACGGTGAACNTCTAGATGCCGGTCTAGATGGGAAAATCTAACCCGCGGTCAATATCGATTTCAGCCAATCAAATTCGTGAATTCGGTACTTCCCAGTCCTTGTGAGACACAGCCATATAATAAAAGGATAATATTAAACACTAAAGCCCCCATTTGACTTTAAAAGTTTGCTCGGATATTTGTCTTTGGACACTATCTGTTCTTCAAAGCTCACAGTTTCCCTTGAGCTTTGCTCTTGCAAAACTGTTCCTTCTTGGTCCAACAGATAATGTCTGCAGACAAATATCTGAGCACACTTTCTTTCGTGCAAAATGGAGGCTACTGTTTATTTATCCAACAAGTGCATGGAAGAATTTATGTCAATCGTGTCAGTTGTGGCACAGTTTGCAAAAACATCAGGATTCTCAGGAAAACAAAACTAATTGTTTTCCTTGGGACCAGTTATTAAAATTATGTAAAACGGATGCCACACAAAACAGATGATGTCAATATTAATATTACTATATTGTTTACAAACAATTTGCACTGTTTTTTCACATTTGCCAACAATTAAAGAAAAGAACTCTTTGTTTCAATAGCCAACATATTTCTGGTGACATAACATGAAGTATTGCTATTGGCATGTTTGAGTCGATATCTAGTTTACAACAACATGAGGATGTATTTACCGCAAAGCTGGCAGAATCTGCACTCAGCAACACTAAAATGCTCATGAGTAGTTTCTTGAATTCAAAGTCCTCATGGGTCTACAAGAAAACAACACAGTCAGTATAAAATAATCATCAGGTACTGTAGGCGATGCCATCATGGTACAGGAAATGCACTTGACACTTGAGGGCCTATACATTTGACACTTTCTGGACCTCAACAAACAATTTATTTATTACAGGAGAGTATCTTAGGAATAGCGAATAACCCAATTACATGAGATTATCTTAGGAATAAGGAATAACCCAATTCATGTTTACCTGGTAGAGTTTAAGATTCCTCACCAGTTCATGATGGCTTTTAACTAAAACAGATAAACAAAGAAATGCTTTTAGCTGAAAAATATGCAGTTAAAAGGTTTATGGCAAAGTTAGGGAAATGTCTTTTCTTGTCTCCCACCCATTCCTTCTTGTCTACCAATGTTTGTGTCCATATTTGTGGGGATAAATTCCTTCCTGACACTAATGGGAAAGTGTAACTGTAAGCAACACAGAAAACTAAACAATTTTGTGAAAACTAAACTAGTGCATCCCCAAGACATCTGCAATTATACTCACATCCAAATTTAGTCATCGCTCTTAATCATTTTACCGCTTATAGTTTGCAACAAGGCATACATATAGTATTATTTCTTTCCAGGTGAAATTTACTTTTACAACTAACTTTCACAAGACAACATTCCAACTAAATGAAATTAAACAAAAAATTACACTAACTTCAAGTTAAAACACCAAAATTAGACCGCTCTTTTACCTTCCGTGAAAGTTGCCAGTAAAACAATCAGCTTGGTAAAACCAGTTTCCTGCAAGAAACATAATAATGAAAAAATATAAAGACACAAAACTGTTTTGCTACAAAACAACACAGCTCTTCCTACTCAAGTGAGACAAACTTACTACTGACGACATCACTCATTTGCACTCGTCTGAGACGTGAGATGCAACTGACAAGCTGTGAAAAGATATTTCACCTACCATAAAAGGAGAGGTTGGACAGAGAGATACAACCAGTGACGCAATTACCAGCAAATCATTTCTGCAATGAAAGTACATGCCACACAAATTAGAATTTATCACACCATTCAGAGAACATATCAAGATACATGTATACAGTTAACTTTTTCCAAATGGGCGCTTATTTGTATTCAGAATGAACTCTGTGTTCATGTTTATTGTGTATTCAGACCTTCAATTTGGAGTTTTTATACAGTGAGATCACATTCACACATAGAGTTCATTCAGAGACTCAAGTCTTGCCTGAAGCCACAACTTGTACAGCATATACATGACTGTATAATATAAAGGTCCTTGTGAATGTACTGTTCAATAGCTGTCATTAATAGTCATACATCCATAGACTCTTACTTAACAGTGAATACATACCTCAGCTGTTTATCAGCCAGGCTGTAACCTTCTTTGAGTTGTCTGACAAAGGCATCTCTTATTGCACTACAACATCGTTTTAAATAATGGAAAAAGTTAATCAAAAGTATATATTTTCTAAATCTTGAAATATGTGTACAGTATATTAGAAAATTGGAACGAAACTACTTCAATCAGCAACACAAATTCTGTGAAATAACTGACAATTTTTATTTTTACTGAATTTCTTTGCTGCACNCATTTCTTCAACTCACCTCCTGTTTAGAACCAAATTCCAATAAGTTCCAGAGAATCTCAACAGTTCGGAAAACAAGCCTGTATATAATGATGTAAAAGAAGTTCAAATGAATGATTCCAGAAAATATCCACACCCCACCACAGACAACTTCCACTTCACATTTTACCCTCCACCCCAACTTGCCTTCAGAAATTCCAAAATGCTTTAGCCCCCATGCCTTCCCTATTCTGAAATTGTTAAACCCCCTTCTCTCCCAAATTTCCATGTTTTACTTCAACCTTCTAGAATTCCTTGTTTGACTCTCTACACCTTCTAATGAAAGAGATTTTACTCTTTTACATCTTCCAAGATGTTTTTGCTAATAATTTTCAGTCAAACAACTGCCTACAGGGCTCAAAAATTGCAAAAAAATTCATTCTGATAGTCCGACTGATATAATGCCATGCATTCATTAGCAACTAAAACTTCCTCCTCCTCAGTCGTAATTTTGCAACTGGTTTTCAACTGTAATGTGAACACATGCCTGATCAATTAATGCTTGCCTTGCATCTAAAATCACACAATGTTTCAATATCTTATCAATACTATTTTCAAGTGAAGAAATATAAAAAATGCTGCATTATTGTAAATCAGAAAAGTGTCAAATAGTCCCATATGAATAAAAAAGCAATTACTTTATGTTATTAAGTAGTTAGATTTGAATAAATAAACGATACAGTTAATTTGTTATAAATGTTTAGTTCACAAAAAGACATGGATTGTATGGTCTTTGAAATGTTGTTCATTTGCAAATGTAAATCGAAACTGAATTATATTTAAACATAAAATATTATATTTCTCACTTGAACGGGATATATAGATGATAGCCAAACATGGTGTGATTTTACTTATTTAATATATAATTTCTTAAATTTTCATCTGAAACCATGCTGATTAGACTATTTGTTTATTAAGTTATTACCTGGCAGAGGGGTCTGGGATATTAATTCCACTGCACAACAAACCGGCTGCACTAACTGACAGCATGTCATCACAGTTCAGCGCTATAATAAGCAAACACAGTTTAATCAGATAGCTAGAGTATAATGCATGTACCACAGTAAGAGTGNTGTCATAATTATAAGAATTGGTCATATATGGTTAGTGTGCATATAGCAAGTTATGGCTGCATGCAGGAAGTTTTGAGAGCATGAGAGAAGCACCTCTACAGAAGCTTTGAGGTCATAATCCAATATTTTTATAAATAGAACCCTCAAGTGTGCCATCTTATTATTACTGGTACTTAGCAGGAAATCCTAATGAGCACTACGATCACAACAATTTAATTATTTAACAAAAACCAACCATTGAAGTAATATGAATCCCAAAGATGGCAATATCTTGCCTGCTCACAACTACCTGCTGTATCCCACAAGAAAAAGTTTCCCAAAGGCCATATAATAAATCCCTCAATAACCACGCTTGGTCAGTCAAGATGGCTGGATATTGGCCTCATTCTCTTTTTAGCAACTTTATGGACCTTGACTCCATCTTGATCCATAAACACCCAAAAAAAGAAGTTGACCAATATCCAGCCATCTTGACCTCACACTTGGTCAATAACCCATGGATATGTACATGTATCAGATACTAACCCACAGACTTTAATCAAGTCACATAAAGGTTTCTCGTATTGCAGGTCTGTCTCTAATCTTTCTCTACAAACTGTGATCATGTCACACACCAAGTCAACATCTTTCATGAGCTGTTATTAGACAATGTTAAGTCATAATATCACAAGTATTGTACAGACTTACTAGTGTACTAATCAATACATCATCCATGAAATACTGATTAGAAGTACATCTACTAAGTTACTTAAATTACAAGTACGTGTACATGTAGTTAACAATGAAAGCAGCCTTATAGAGTACTGTAGATTTCAACTGCATCATAGAACAAAACTAAAAGCAAATGCATGTAAAGCTATACAGCTGGCATGAAGCATGGGAAAAATGGATGTATGTGTAACTAATTTTAAACCCTGAATAGTCATGTAGCACTGAAGGGATGCCAACTAATGGAAAACAAAATGCAGTAGATCCCCAATTTTACCTTCTTGACCCCTAAAAAGTTGTTCAAAGTAACGTTCTGCTGATTCAATGACATTGTACATGTCAATGGCTTTGTAATATAATACCAAAGCAAAGTTTGAATTGTTTACTAAAGACATATACTGATACAATGTAATATATCACTTACAAAATTTACTGATAATGCGATTTGAGATTTATATTTTCATTCAAAGGATACAAATCCATGACAGAAGTATTTGGTAAGTCTGTGGATGGCTCGTACATGACGATCTACCAGTTCTTTCTAAGTAATAAATAAACAAAATCATTTACCAGTTAGTTTTGTCTCTTCCTATAGAGTAACAATCTCCATTAACGTCCACCTCTCTACAACATCCACTTGTATATTATGTTCTGTCAGATGGTCCATACATGTATGTATATTCACTCTTAATTTAAACTCTCTACAGCGACCACCCCTCCATAACAGCAAGACTGCAGACGTTATAACTGAATTGTAATTAACATTTCCATCCTAACCGTACACAGGCTAACTGGAGTGTTATTTGGGTTATCCTGAGTGATTTTCAGGCTAACCGGAGTGCAGACTTTCACGATGCTTAACCTGAATTTCACAAATCAAATATGGTTTAGCGTGGTCTGTACTCTTATCAACAACGATACGCGTCATCACAGTGGCGCAGCCGAGTGAGTCCACAACAAATTTTGACCACTCTGATGACGTGCATCATTGTCAATAAGAGTACAGACCACACTAAACCACAGTTCAATTTGTTTTTTACCACAATTTCAACATCAAAGAAAATCTGTTTTTCAGAGCACAAGCTAAAAAAAGGCATTGCGTGACAAGTTGACGAGAGCAGCGTTGTCTGAACTCTTATAGACAATGCCAAATTAGCCAATCATATTGCAAGATTAGTAGCTGTTGTGGTAAAATATCCTTTCTACGGTTAGCACTTGATAATGGAAATAACACGATATATACTTAAAAAGTCAGTAGTCTGCAGTCTGCATTTCACCCTCAGTCTGCCTTTGCCCCTGTTCCCCAGTTTGCGTTTTACACTGACCGGTATTCACTTGTCACCACATTTAAAACAGACAGCACATGTTGTGTTTTTTGAAGAATTAACCACCTCAAAACTTAACTACGTTCGCTGGTAAAGTCAAATACCGTGCATCAGGTTTCAGACAAGCTTACAAGTATACCCAAAAACTTATACTAACAATAATGAGGCGTTTTAGATGTGGAAAACTGGAAAAGATCATATAATTATGTTTGTGAAGGGTTTCTTTTCAACCAAAATATTTGTGAAAATATATAAAAACTAGTCGATAACAAACGAGAGACTTTCACAGGCGATGATTAATCAGTGCACCACAGAGCTAGCTAGTTTAAACATGCGAGCTTATTTTTCAGTGTGCATGCACAATTTACCGTTAATCAAAATACGTACAATAACATAATATGCCAAATTACGACCATGTACAACCAAATCTACAAAATACAGACATTTTTAATGATTATAAAACACTGATCAACGACTTACCGAGTGTTTGTCTGTGAGAAGTTTGTGTGTTTTGAGAACGCTAACTGGAACAAGTTTGCCAGAATGCTGTAAAAAACAACAGGTTATCTCGTTATGTTTTCCCACCAGATAGCCTCTTTGCATCAAATACTTTCTTACCTTTCCTTCGGTCCGCAACTTTTCGAAGTCTTCGTCTGTTATCACGTTATTTACAACGGGAATTTGCCGCGCTGTTGCAGCCGCCATTTTGATCTCTTCGCCGATCGTCTCTTATTGCAAACTGTTGCCTAGCAACCACATCAAATTTAACAATGGGCTAACAGACCGCTGACCGCGGAGTCGTTGGGCTCGCTTGCCTACGAACAGGCTCTCGATCTTTAAATAGCTTAGCGGAGAACGACACTCGTCAATTTTTCTTCGTCCAGTCAAACACGGTAGGATTGCTCCTTCCCCTTTCCTCTCCATCTTTCTTTCCTCACGAAGAGCCTGCTCGCAGGCTACCTGATACTCGTATACTGATACATGTATTTGGGTTTCACACTAAAGAAGGGCTATGCCTGAAACGTTTGTGATTTTTCACAAGATAACACTTTTCTGCCTTATAGTTTTCAATTTGTAATTCTTTTGAATGTTTATACCTGATACTCAGATCCAACCTCGTACCAGGCTCTCTCTCCTTTGCCTCCCTTTCGTCGTTGGGAGGCAGAGGAGAGAGAGCCTGAGAACAAGCTAACCGAGAGGAAACGTCCATATTTTTGTCCAGTCATAAACGGCAAGGTAGCTCTTTCCAACTTTCCTTCTCTCCCTAGCCCGTGAATAGCATGACTAACAACTTGAAACCATTTTCTCTTGTTGAAACTCAAAGTTGACGACTGTAGATTTTCCACCAAAAGCTGACGTTTCGAAGTTTCGACTTTTCACATAAGCCTTTCTCGCGTTAACACGTTTGGACCAGAGTGGACGTGATTTAAAACAACAACAAAGAAATGCAACAAGGACTATTTATTTGCACATACCGATATATCTCAAAAGGCGCCAAGTGTTATACGTCTTATACCTGAAAGCAAAGCAATGATAATTCCAAGTCTTGTTCCAAGTAAATATTAGTTAGAAATTTCCTCATGTTGCCTGAAGCTCTGACATTGATAAGAATTGAAAAGATGGTTTATTTCTAATTCTTTCGAAAGAATCCGTTTTATGAAATTTGATAAAGCGTACTTCTGAAGTATGGTCAGGTTTATTTTAACCAATGACAAAAGAACCAAGAAATCCATTTCAGAAAATCGTTTGATTTTCTCTGTGGGGGAGTTCCAGATGAAAAGGTCGGGGATGCCCGTCGTCTCGCTTAGGGGTGTTCATGACGAAACACTACTATTTTAAGCTGTCAAGCTGGCTGTCGAAGTATCTTTCTGTGTGTACTCGAAGAAAAATTTATTAAAAAAAACCACTCTTATTTCCATTTTTAGCCTCGATTTCCTCCGGTATCTCGAGTACGGTTTACTAACGTAGACTCCTGAACAGCGTCCTGTAATCTAGCCTTTTTCTTTTTTAAGTGGTATCCTTTAGCTGTCAAATGAAGCTGGAGCAAGGCCCAGATCGGTCCCGTTAAAGGGTTAATTCAAATTTTCCGATGAGCATCCCCGATTTTTTCATATGGGAGTCCCCTCCCCCGGGGGTTAATTTTCTACAGAACTTGAGGGCACTGTTCATCATCGCCCTCTGGATCATCTTCATCGTCAGTAGGTGAATACAAGTGGGGACAAGTTGCTATTGGCTCTATTTTCTGTTTTTCCATCTTCTTTTTGTTGTTGTTCTCTTTGTTTCTGTTTTTTCTTTTCCTCTTCTTCTTCTTCTTTTTATTCCGCCTGTTGTTGACAGTGAATTCTTGGCTTATGCATCCGATGGAGGACTGGTCACATATCTCCCGTAACTGCCTGTAAGGAAAATGGAACAGAACTCATTTTCCGTTGCCTGTATGATTAAGCCTGCTTTTCACTAGCGATGCAAGCACAAGCGCACAACAATTCTTATTTCAACGTGAAAACGGACTTGACGCAAGCATAAGCACAAGCGCAAGGAGGGTGCCAAAGGTGGGGTACCAATCACGCATCACGCTGAATTTTTCTATTAAAACACGCATCACGGATGATTGTTTTCACCAATCACGCGTCACGTAAAAAGAATTAAGTACATCGCCAATTTTACTTTCTCAACCCTAAAAGCGTCGTTAAAAGAAGAACTTTGCTGATTTAACCACAAAAATGCATCGGCTGAATATGTGACCTCTCACGCGAAAACGCTCCCTACGGCTGATCCGTTCGAACGGCCCAACGTTCGGCAAGTGAACTAGCCTGCGAACAGGCTCCCAGCGAGGGTGGAAGAAAAATCCGGCGGGGACGGAAAAAAAAATCCGGCGAGCAAAGCGAGCCGTTGAGCGCGAAGAAAAGAATTCCGCGAATTGCGCTCCCCCTCGTCACCATTCTGCTCTCGGCTCTCCCCGCCCGCCCTAGACCATACTTGGCTAGCTCGCACTAAACCCATTAACCCAACCGCAAACCTGTTCGCAGGTTACAAGTGAACGGATAATTTGAATAGCGATAGTTAATTTACTTGTTCCAAGATATCTTAAGACCACTTGGTTCTACATGAGTTGATAACCACTGAATATAATAAGTAACGATTTAATGAAACGCAAACTGAGGAGGTAAATGTTAGAGATTCATAAGAAATGGGCTGTGTAGGTATATGTTGGGAATTAATACGATGAAAGCTGTGTAGGTATATGTAGGGGATAAAGGAGATGTAGGCTGTGTAGATATATGTGGGGATTAATGAGATGTATTGCTGTGTAGGTATATCTCAAGAATAAATACGATGACAGCTGTGTAGGCATAAGTGGGGGATAAATGAGATGTGGGATGTGTAGGTATATATAGAGGATTAACGAGATGTATTGCTGTGTAGGTATATGTTGAGGATTAATACGATGAAAGCCGTGAAGGTATATGTGGGGGACACGATGAAAGCCGTGAAGGTATATGTGGGGGATAAATGAGATTTGGGCTGTGTAGGTATATGTTGGGGAGNTATGTTCTGTAACGGCTTTGTAATTTATGCTACACATACAGTTATATATTAAAATCAGCGTTCACCTTGTGTGTATCTTAAGTTACAGTAGCCAGATTGAGCCTTGATTGATGACGTTCGTTTAAGGTTCTCTCTGCCATTTAACATTACATGTTGCAGCGAAAGGGCAGTTCAAATTCGTCGACAACATCCACCGTCTACGAATGCCTACGAGCGAAAACAACTTCCGGTGCCTCGCCGCCTAAAGCATCACAATTTTCATTGTTATTCTACCAGATATCATTGTCTCCGCAACATTTAGATCGGAGGTCAATTAAGTGGCGAGATCCTCGAGAACTGGAAGCTATGGAAAGAGAAATACTGTAATAATTACTTGGTTCGGAGAGTGGGAAAGCCCCGCGTATCAACTCGCCATGTTCAAGGACGTTATTGATGACGATGGTCTTTAAGTGTTTAAAGTCTTAAGCTATACTGAAGAAGAAGATGCAAACAATTGCCGTGTAGTAATGGGGAAGATGGAAAGGTATTGCATCGGCGAAGTAACGTAAACGAGATTGTTTCAGCGGGAGGGAAAAACTTCCTACCGAAACGCTCGACAACTTAATCGCTGAATTAAAAAGAGCCTTGGCAAAGAGCTGCAATTTATGTGATTTTTTACAGTTTTTACACGATATTCTCATCTGCGTTTGATTGGTCCTGGGATAAAACAGGACCAAAACACAAAGCAGCCACTTAGGATGACAGACCCCACGTTACACAAGTGTATCGACCTTCCAGCATCCGTGATGCAAATATAGGGATCTTAACAATGACGACGGCGACGCTGAGGACAACGCCTTGTAAAACTGAATTTGTCTAGGATGCCTATGCCTCTAAAACCTCGTTCAGGCTAAATATGTAATGAACAGGGTTCAATTCTAAATGGAATACGAAAAATTAGCAGTTCGACTCATCGTTCGCGTTCGCGGTCATTTTGTTGTTTTGCAGAGGACGGCCATGAAATGTAAAAAGGTTCACTGAAGACGCTTGTACAGCCTTTGTTTTGCTCATTAAACCTTTTGTTTGGTGGTTCTCATTGACGTCGTGGTTTGCTCCAGACTCCGTCAACACTACAAGGGAGGAAATTATAAACGCATACAGCTTTATTTCTACTGTTATAGCTCTATTTCTACTGTTAGGCCTACGTATACGGTCCAGAGTAATTCGTCACGAAAACGGAGCGTTTCGAAAATGCTCTTCAAACGGGAGGAATTTGAAAACGCTGGCTTCGAGTTTTCGTGTGGATGGAAAACATTTTAAAATGGACCTTTTCAAACACGATAGGATTAAAAGAACCACGTGATTTCCCTGGCTGAGATTTCCTCAAACAAAAATACAAAATGACCGGTGATTGTTGCGTTTTTAAATTGCTCCGGTACAGTGTAGACGACCGGACTACCTCGCGCCTAAACAGTTCGGAATGTTCGGATGATTTTGCTTGTGCTTGTATTTGCGTTCAATTTCGTGTTCACTTGGGTCACAACTATTGTTTGCGCTTGTGCTTGCGCTTGTGCTTGCGTCGCTAGTGGCCAGACCTTAAAAATGAAGCCCCGAAATTCCCGGTCAGTGAATTAATGTAGTTCAGCAGCAAATTTTCAGGCTATGCAAATATTTATGTTCTTGCTGATTTTGAAGAAACTGGTCAAAAAACACTTTATTTGATTTCTTTTTTCGTTTAAACCCCCTGTTAGACCTCTTAGGCTTCCAAGTAAGGTCAAATCCGTTGCTGTCAGAAGTCAAACGCTAAAAACGAAGAAAATGACTGGGAACTCGACTACGCTGTAAAGAAAAAAAAAACAGTTTTGCTAAAAGAAATCTTGAACGTCCAGCATCAGTGTATTTTTCTCGCGAAGGCTATAAACACCAACTTGAATTGTTACATATGGTCACACTTAACAGAATAGACTTTAGGGCCTTTAGAGGTTTAAGATCGACCTGACGCTGGCATCCCTTCCCCCTTGGGGCTTACCCTACCCCCAACAGTTTCATTGAATATCTGTTTACTTAATTCTTGAGAAAATATGAGTCGATATCATTGCTTTAGACTGTACAAAAAGATAAAGCGATCATTCGTGATAAACCAGTAGTTATAGAGTTTTTAACAAATGTTTTTACCTTTTATATCTGCCACTAAAGATGTTCTGTAGAAGAGATCTTTCTTGCGCTCGTGTTTCTTTCCTTTTGCTGTCATCAGCTGTAGAGTACCCCAGGAACACCAATGCCACAACAACGCATAGAAATCCTACGCAAATCACGTGATTCATGGCAGTTGCGATCTAAATCGAAAAAGCGAAAAGCTGTAATTTTGCTTTTCTTCTCAGTTTTTTACTTTCGAGCAAAAGTCACGCAAGAAGTGTATCCAGTCTAATTTATATCCTGCGGCGTTAACATGATCTTCCGAGATAGATTTGTCTTTCAACTTCATGTTCAATTGTAGGAAATCTAAATTTTCTTAAAATAACATACGGTGCTTTCACATTTCTTTCGTTAATGGTGAAAATGAAGTTTTCTTTACTGTATGTAGTTCTGTTATATATAACCATCATAATTTGAAAGAGAGCACTTTTCTTTTTCAAGACAAAAATTGCTTGGGCTTCATAAATAAGTTCTTCTTTCGCTTTTTCAGTAACGTCGACTTATGTGTAATGTCTACACGCGAAGAGGACGACAAAATTCCTTTTTTTGTTACGGTTTGTAAAAGTCTGGTATATGTGACATACAATGAAGTTACTTTACAGTTACAGCCTGCTATTTTCTCACTACAGTTAACAGTTTACCTGGCTGTGTCCGCCTTTAGTTGATTCAGATCGTTCACCTCAGAGTTACAAGGCAATTTTTATACGTTTCCGTATTCTCTCAGCTTTTAACTTGCAGCTGATTTTTTTTCTTGTACTTAATAATTAATGCGTAACGTTAACGGTCGAATCACCAAGTAAATGAAAATCGAAAATGAAAGTTTATCTAAACAAAACAAGTTTGGATCAAAATGTCAAGCCTCAAATTAAGAGCCAGCCGGGTTTGCCTAATAGACATTCAGATTTTTCCATTGGATGATCTTATGCTCCAATACTGTTAAATTGCCATATGCCAAATCAAAATATAGTTACTAATCGAGTCGATTCCTTGGCGATATCCTACAAAACTAGATTTTTCGTTGCATTTGAATTTCATATGCAGACCATGGCATTGAAAAGTGGAATTTTAATTCGAAAACCACGTGACGTTTGTGTTTTAGTGTTTCGCGAGCAGACGTTTAATCCGAAAACAAGTCTTCTTGCTGACTTGATATTTTTTAGCATCACATGAAGTGCATGTGGACGAAAATTAATACTGCTATCTAAGGATTGTCTCGGAGGCGGGTGTGCCTCGGAATAAATGGTAGTCAAAGCGAAGATATGTTCCGAATGTAAGGTAAATAATTGAGGGAAAGTCGGGGTTTTTTAGATTTCGTGACCAATTGTATCTTGATTTTAAAAATTCATGTCTGCAAATCACATTCAATGTGGATAAAATAGCCTCAAAACAATTAAACCCAATTTGGCGACATTTAAAATGGAAATGGAGAAGACTCGCAACTCATTTCAAAATCGCTCATCTCACTAGCTAACAAACGTTTGAATATCAAAAATAAAAACGAAAATTAATAACAAAAACTCAATAGGCTGGCTAGAAATTTAAGTGTGTAGATGATAGGGGCGAGAATTTGGCGCCCTTTTCGGACCAATTTGTTCCCAGGTACAGTATCAAATGATGGAGATTTCTTAGATTTTTGAAACAAAACCTCACGAATAATGTTTTCACGTTTATTTCTTTTCCTCGACACAGTAACCTACAGTTTGGTGTCGAGCATCTAAGGATATACTTTTATGAAATAAATATTAATATAGATCTGCTAACGGGTTATCACGAATGCCTTTCTCTGATTGGCTACACTACTCACTAATACTGCTGTAGATAGTGAGTAGCCTAGTAGTGTGCGGTTGTTATCAAAATGACCGCCGATTCTTTACTGTGAAGAGGATTTAGATAAAGTTTTGAACGACTAGTAGATTTATACTAAAGCAATTAGATTATTCTATGCGTGATAGTTGACGAGACGGGGCAGCCTCAGTTAACTATCACGCAGGGAAATTGAGGGCGAAGGATGTAATCGTTATTAAAGAGAAGACAGTGGAGCAAGGGTTATCTGCATTGTTTTTCCATGGGGCTGTCTAATTCAGGGCTCGTCCCCACAACGCCGGAAAAAATTGAAAACGCTGCTTTATTTCTTATATAGGTTAGGCCTGCCCCGTGAAAAACAAAAACAAAAAAAAACGGAGCTTTACGAAGACGCTCTTCAAACCGGAGGAATTTGTAAACGCCAGCTTTACGTTTTAGCGTGGACAGAAAACACTTTGAAAACGGAGCTTTTCGAAAACGATGACATCACGATGATATGTGATTTCCCTTCTCAGACGTAGTGTGGTCGAACAACATTTGATGCGTTTTCAGAGTGAAACAGCGCTTTCAAATTTCTTCGGCGCAGTATGGACGGCACCCTGCACGCGCTACAAGAGACTAAGCCAATTATTGTTAATTTTGGCACTTGTTTTCACAACATTAGAGTCGGAGCCTTCTATATCTTCTTTATTCTTTAAATGTAAAATAAATAGTTATCTCTCGCGTGATAACAATTAGATAAAAATGATTAAAATAATTAAAAACAACAACAACAACAACAACAATCTTTATTTCGTGCCCAGAAAAATTTTACAATAAAAATAAATACATGCAATGTGAAAAAATAACAATGAAAAACAGAGCACAGCCACTTAGAAATAGCGAAGGCTAATCGAGCCAAGTGGCTGGGCCAAGCGGAAAAAATATTGCAATAAAGTTACAGAATATATGAAAAAAAAAACTCGTTTACCAATGGTATATAACAAATGCATATCTCTAACCTTGACATAAATTTTGACTGAATATAATTTGTCTATGCTTCTGTGCATTTCAATAACTTAAATTGTATTTTAATATCATATATAAATTTTGTTAATCTATATTCATCGATGGATAAAATTTTGTACCAGCGAGAATCGCAAATCTTCATATGCGACAGCCAAGCCATTTTCGAACGAGCCTCGAATACTACCAACTTTATGAACAGTCAATTCTTCTTTGCAAGACTAGAGGAATTAAAAACAAACTTGGCATCGAGGATAGAAAAATACCAAAAAAATCTGAAAATGACGAGAAACGGTAACAAAAGATTTAGGATACCGCTGTGCAGATTTGAAAAACATGTAAAAAACGAGGTTTGATAAGATTAACGAAGCTAGCTCACATGATAGCTTAGGCGATGCCGGCTTGTCTATGTTCCTCAAAGTACAAACTTGGAACTGAAGAACTGAAGTTACTTTCAACTAATCTAAAACGATGTCGGCATAATTTAAAAAAAGGGGATTGCTGCGTAGAATATACCACTTCTTCAAAAATTTGTCTTAATCCGTTCCAGATTTATCCGGTGTTGAAAACTAACGAAGAACTGCTGTACTTTTTCGTTTTTCTTCCGCTCCAAACCCAGGACCGCGCTGTTCGAAAATTAACGCTAACCCAGGATTAAAAGTTAACTGAAGTATAAATTTTCTTGCATAGAAATGTTCTCCACTGCTTTACTGAGTTATGTTTTGTGTAGCCTGAGATTATTCAAACGCAAAACAGGAGGCCACATATATAATAAAACCAGAAAGTTCCACTGCAAAGTTACAAAACTCAAGTCAAAATTCTCTCTAATCCTGGTTTAGTTTAATCGGGCTGTGAACTACCAGGCCGACATTTAAAATCATGTAAAATCATGTCTCTACGCAACGAATTCGCTCAAAATATCATGACCTACTAACAGAAGAACTGACTGATGAATCAAGAAAGTGCATTTAAGACCATACGAATCTAAAGGGAATTGACACTTCGCGATGAACGGTTTAGATTATCTGACAGACGATTGCTGATGCTCATCACCAGTTTCTTTATGTTTTTCTTGGTTCCAGTCTGTGAGAGAGCTGGGTTAGAGTTCGCTGGTTATCAATCACGTGCAAGTTTCTGTGGAATAAAACAAAGCCGTATTAACTTCACGGGACGATACTTAAAGTTCAGAAATGTCAAATAAATCCACGAGCTGTCCTTGGCTTTCTGATTGGCTCAAAAGTTTGGGAAACGTGCCAAAGTATCGAAAACGTTGCGCGTAATTAGCAGAGTCGTTTGTAAACCACAAGCTTTGTTACCCGATTTTTCATACCTCACAAAAATGGTTATTTCCTGAGCCATTTTTAATTGAGATGGAGGTTCAGCCTCTGGAAGGAAAGGAACAAAAAGCAACCTGTTCTTAATTTGTTGTTTAATGACGCGATGAAATTACAAAGAAGACAAATATAAACATCAAGACAGAACGTTAATCATAACAAACATCTTGTATTTTGTAGTAAAGCTACTTACTAAAAGGCTCGCTGCGACAGTATTGGATAAGTCGAACGGTAGAGGAGATCATTCTCTGAAAATCAGTGAAAAAAATTTAAGATTTTCTTATACTAAACTTGACTAAGTTCTTACTGTTAAAAGAACTTAACGCTCACCTTAAAATTAGGAGCTGTGAGTTTTCAAAAACTGAGAAAATACCATAACATTCGTCACGTGTTGCATAGAGCACGTTCTCCCCTCCCCTCCCCACTCCTTTCCTTCAACCCTGGATCCGCACTGGTACAGTCCTCTCCCGGTGGGTGTCGGGGTGGGGACTTCCGTAAGTAAAAGTTCGGTGGTGCTCGTCGTCTCGCTCGGGGGTGTAAATCCAAAATTTTGGTCTCACTTTGAGTGTGCAGCACGAAACGCCTCTATTTTTTAGCCTACAAAGTATATTTAAAGGATGCACTCGAAAAATCTTTTTCCCTCTTTTCAGGGGTCTACGTAAAGCTCGAGGCACGCCCAGGTTCGTCTCTTTTAGGGGGCTTTTTCGATGACATACCCGGGAGTGCGCTTCAATTGCTGCTGAAATCTGGTCTTCTTTCTGAGTGGCTTTGCAGTATTCATCGTTTTTCTCTGGTTTAACCCTGACACAATTTCCTATTAGTGTTACAGACACAGAGACGCAAGATGAGCTAGTCAAGTCACTTTACTGCGCCTTTCAATAACATGCGGACTCTAAAATTCAAAGCTCAATCGACAAATGCGTCTTTCGCTACCGTCAATCAAATGTTCGGCGGCTCCTCCCAGCTTCCGACCACTGCCGAACGCGCGGTAATCAAGTCGTTGAGCACAGTTCAAACACCAAAACAGTGCTCAGCAGTGTCGGTTGAGCTTTGAATTTTAGAGTTCGCATGTTATTGAAAGGCGAAATAAAAATTAATGAAAAAAAGGAGATAACTCACCATTTTCTCAAAATTCACTAGATTGTCAAATTGCGTTTTGTTCCCTACGTCGGTAAATGTCATGTCTATAAGAAAAAAAATGGGAAAATTAGTCATACATTCAAGCTAAAAAAAACACGAGCGCTTAAAATCGTATTTTAAAATAGTGTTCAGAATGAACTTAAATACAAAGCAAATTATCAGTGTAAATATTTTTTCGCTAAATTCGTCGATGAACATGATGTAAATGAACAACGGACACAAACACGAGAAAAAGGCGCGAGGTCGGTTCCGAGGCGCGTCCAGTTCCACCTTTTGATCTTCCTGATGGAGGTTTTCTATTATCTTTAGCGGCCACCCAAAATTTAAAAAGCGAAGTTTGGCTTTGCTTTGGAAGAGGCGATGACAGATAAGAGTCTGAAATAGAAAGTGACCACTAATAAAAACATTCAGACACGCGTTTATTATTGTCCTCGCGCGATTCTATGTTGACTTTAAAAAGCATGTTTGTACTTGAACGAAATTGGCGTTTCTAGCAAGTCTCGTGCTAGTTTCTGACGAACCCATCTTCCATTTCCCCAGAGTGGCCGTTTAATAAGGGTTCGACTACATAATATAGTGCTATCAATTTCTCGCTACTAGAAAAGCCCTGGTTTGTCCTTTTCCGACCACAAACGAGTCATTTACATCTAAATACCTTTCATCAGTAGTGGCATAAATGGCAAGATGGGAGGTTTCATTTTTCCTACAAAAAAACAAAAACAAAAGCAGTTGGTATAACGATCATTCGTCAAAAAGTCCAAAAAGTCCAGACGTCACCGATCTTAAAGAATCGATCATTTTTTAAGAGGCAATCGTTTATTATTTAATTGATTGACAGTAAACTCACCAGCTAGAAGCCGGTAAACTCGATGATTTCTAGACGGCTCCTACAAAAGGAGGTACAATTTACATATTAGTCATTACATTGAAACAAGTCTTCCCACTATTGCTGTAACACCTTTATGTGCATGTTAGTTTTAATTTACTGCTCAATTCAAAAGTAAAGGTAAAAGCCGTGTGCGGTTTTTGTTCTTTTGTCTGGCTGATAAGGTTAAATTTTATACAGCATACAGGAAGATCAAAAGAAATCAAAAAGATTCCTTACCAAAGTAGTTTCAAATTCCTCGTATATTTTTCGGAATTTTCCTGGTAATTTCTAAAGAAAAATAAAAAAAACCCATTTGTTTTATTACACACAAGAAAACGAGCGCAAAGTACAATAGGGGCTTGGAAAAGAAAGCAATTCATTGGCGGCCGACTTTGTCCCTGTCTTGTCCCTCTTCCGTCTCCACACGAACTGTAGCAAAAAGAGGCACTCAACGGAGAAAGTAACTTTCTTAACCTCTGTCCTCTTGGATTTGATATGAAAGCTACTTCCGGACAGAAGAGAAGTTGTCAGTTCATGAGGATTTCTGCTGATTTTGGGTAGTCGCTAGCCAATGCAAGGGAGTTGCCAGTTGAGGGTGAAATTGGATCGTATCACTCCACCCTCTCGTAGTACTCACCTCCCATGTCTGTGACAAGCGGCCCACTGCAACACTGTTGAGTGCCATGACGACAGCAAAGAACGAATACCAATTATTGTACTCCTTGCAGCTGCAACATAGACAGAAAAACGCAATCAGCAAACAATTCATTTCAAGTCATTGCGGTAAGAGAGAACTACAAAACATTATGTATCGAGGCCGGGGGAGCGATTCGAGTTCGAACTCTGGCCGGGGACATTGTGTCGTGTTCTGTCGCAAGACACTTCACTCTCACAGTGCCTCTGAATTAAATGCTGGAGGTAACGCTGTCATGGACTAGCATCCTATCCAGGGGGGAGTAGAAATACTCCTAGTCACGTCATGTTAAAGAAACCGGAGATAAGCGTCGGCCTGATGGGCCACTTAACTCGTATGCAGGCTTTACCTTTTACCTTTCCAAGGTAAGCAATAGTTATGATAATTTTAGATGTATTTTTCGTGTAGGCATTTATTCGTTTGCTGAGCTTAAAAATAACTTTCATTACCGATAGAAAAGTGGCGAATTTAAACAAGAGCTATAATTAAACTTTTGTTTTTGTTTTTCACTTTTCCACCTGCAAATGTGTGACACGTTAAGTTTATAAAAATTACTTAACTATTCAAGTATAAAACCATGCGCATTTATGTATAGTTTCGATTACGTATAGAACTCGTCTTCTCCCCAGTTTTCAATGGCAAACCAGCCAAACAAACAAACAAACAAACAAACAAACAAACAAACAAACAAACAACCAAACAACGGTTTTGAAAATTGATCATTTCAGTAATCAACATGGTCGATTGCACATTTAACACGGACGGTCTAAACAAAAGATTTATGTAGCTATAAGATTACTTACTGCGCGGCCAGTTTAATGAACTTTTTCAACAAATAAACTCTTTTGTTGAGTTGTTGAGTGAGTAGAATCTGTGTTTCGACCCACAACTGCACCTGAAATAATAATAATGAAAAATCCCTTCCTTTTTTGACAAATATAAAAAGAAGTAGTGTAATGTTCGTCTGATACTAAAATTTTACAGGAACCAATATTTACAAAAAACTAAACAAAAGCAGCCAAAGCAATTTACTGCCCTTTTCTGAAGCTCAGTTATTCTCACGCTTGAGAGACGACGGGGACTGGATCCAAACACTTTTACATTGATGACGTAGCTTTACATGTCTCTGATTTGTCAATTCTCGCAATTTTGAATTTTCTCGGGCAAAAAACAACCAATCAGAGAAGCCTTGCGTACCTCAGTAGAGCTACGTCATCAGTATGAATTTTTTTCGCGTCCAGTTTCGGCCGTCTTTGATTGCGTGAAGAAGGTTGACTGATTGATTGATTGATTGATTGATGTATCGGTTGATTGATTGGCTGATGGATTGTCTGCTAAGCTCTATCATTGGTCGAAAGGAGGCCGCACGGCATGTTCGAGCAAATCAGAATACCCGTGTTCTTTTTACCGGTCAAGAGCACAGCAAAAAGCAATTGTAGCTTCGCTTGGCGTCAACATACTTCGTGAGAAGAACAAATGAAGTGCCTCACCTCATTGAACCGCTTGAGTAGCAGGTCAAGGTTCGCTGTGATCTGGTTGTAGTTCTCTTTCCCAAAAATGTTGTAAACAAATTCGTGCTGCAAATTAGATTACAATAGAGGAAAGTTCAGTTCGAAATGAATTCTAAAGTGACTCCCGATCAAGCATTTGCATGCGCGATTTTTCCGCATTTGGTCTTGCTTTCTCCAACAATTGATAAATTTCCCGAGGCGGCTTGTTGATAGAGTCGAGGGAGGTTAAGCAACTACAACAACGACGCCTATTAAAAACTGAATTTATATTTTATCAGCGAA